AAGATCTAGAAATCACATTGGGTTGCAGACCTTACCTGTGTTGTCCTTGCTGAGGATGTTTCTCTGCATGTCCTCTACTTTGGCCATCAGTCTCTGATACTGTTCCTCTGCCACTTGCAGGTCATTGTTCGAGGATGCCAGGCTGGCATTTTTAGCTTCTAGCATGTTCTGCAGGTCAGTCATGGCCCGCTCTAGATCCCAGCAAGATTGCTTCAAAGTGTCCACTTCAGAACTAAGGGAGTCCTGCTTCTGCTGGCTGCTGTGGCTGTGCTCCACCTGTGCCTGCAGCCTTGTGCTCAGGGCAGCAAGCTGGGCCTGTAACTCAGCCTTTTCTTGAAGTGCCTGAAAATAACCCCAAATGACCATAATGGCTTTCAGAAAAATAAGTCACTTCTACCCATTTTTTATTTCATTTGCATCGGTATTTTGCCTGCATGTGAGAGTGTCAGATCTTGTATCAGAGTGTCAGATCTTGGAGTTCAGACAGTTATGAGCTGCCATATCGGTGCTGGACTTGAACCAGGGTCCTGCTGAGTCATAACTCTAGCCCTCCCCCAAGATTACTCTTAAAACCTCTGAGGTTACCTTTGAAGACTGTTTTATGTATAACTAAACTAACTGGCTTATGCCTAAGGAATTTTTAAGCATGACACATGTACTTAGTAAAGCAATTTAATCTCACCACACATGGCTTCTCACACTGTAGCAGGTGTTCACAGCCTCAGGTCAGGCCTCTTGCTGCCTCAGTATGTGTGTGTATGATCTCCCTCACAAAGCATATAGCTGAATTCCCCTGAACACACTCTCTCTAAACTGTTGATAGAAAGATAAAAATCTAGTTCTGCTACTGAGAAAAAAATAAGCCAGGTAGTGGTGGTGCACGCCTTTGATCCTGGACACTCGGGAGGCAGAGGCAGGTGGACCTCTGTGAATTCGAGATGAGTTCGAGGCCAGCCTGATCTACAGAGTAAGTTCTAGGACAGGTAGGGCTGTTAGACAGAGAAACCCTGTCTTGAAAAACACAAAACAAAACAAAAAACCCATATAAAACAAGCCAAGCATGGTGGCAAAGGCAAGGTCCAAGTCATTGAGAGGGAAAGGCCTGAGGATAAAGAGTTCAAGGTTATCCTTAGCTCCACAGCAAGTTCAAAGCCAGCCTGGGCTACCTGAGAATTGTGTCAAAATAAATAAACAAACAAACAAATAAATAAATAAATAAATAAATAAAGTTTCATATGAGACAGTAAACCCTGAAAAACAAGGAATGAAAAATCATTTTTTAAAAAAATTAATGTTGGCCGGGTGTTGGTGGCACACGCCTTTAGTCCCAGCACTCGGGAGGCAGAGGCAGGCGGATCTCTGTGAGTTCGACACCAGCCTGGTCTACATGAGCTAGTTCCAGGATAGCCTCCAAAGCCACAGAGAATCCCTGTCTCGAAAAACAAAAACAAACAAACAAAAAAAATTAATGTTATATATGTGTATGTGTGTATATACATGGGAGTACCCTCAAAGGACAGAAGAGAGTATGCTGGATCTCCTAGAGCTGAAGTTAAAGGCAGCTGTGAGATTCTATGAAACAACCGTGGGCCCTGGGAAGAGCAGTAAGTGCTCTTAACCACTGGTCCATCTCTCCAGATCCCCCCCAAAATGAAAAGAAGATATAGTAAAATTAATATCAGACAAAGCAGACCCTGGAATAGCAAGGTAGTTCAGCAGGTAAAGTCATTTGCTTCCAAGAATGATGCCCTCAAACCCATGTGGCAGAAAGAACAAGCCACTCCTGCAAATTGTCTAACCTCCACACACATGCCACAGCATGAGCACATCTACCCCTACCACACACACAAACACAAATAAATCAGTAAATATAATAATCTTTAAGAATTGAAAAATAAACTATTACAAAGTAAATGCAGAAGCCATTGCAAAAAGTACTAATGGGGACAAAATGAAACTTTTACTCTATCAGAGAAATGTAAAATCATCAGGAGAAATGAACTATCACAGACTCTCAGTATATTTAGGACTTGCTCTTGGCAAGTTCTGATGGAGCAAAAGGGAAAGAATGAGTCATAAATCAACTACCACAACTTTGTATGAGACCAATACACCCTGCAGACAAAATGAGTAGCATGGACAACTTGGCTGAAGAATTACACTTAAGGATATCTATAAAATTATACAGAGCGGGCTGGAGAAATGGCTCAGTGGTTAAAAGCACTGGCTTCCCTTCCAGATGATGGTCCTAAGTTCAATTCCCAGCAACCACACAGTGGCTCACTGCCCTCTTCTGGCCTGCAGGCATACATGCAGGCAGAACACTGTATAAATAAACTTTAAAAAAAAAAATTATACAGAGCAAAGATATACACATTCTTTTCAAAGATTTGGCTCATTAAGCAACAATAAAACATCCTTTACCTGAGTGGCTTCTAATGACAAAGCCTCCAGCTGTCCTTCAAGTCTCATTTTTTCTTTAAGAACCTGCAACATTTCATCCTGTGTTTCAGCAAGAGAGCTCTCCATGGACACACTAGGGGTCAGGAGAATAAAGTCAAGAGATGAGAACCTAACAGCTGTTAAACCTCTATACTTGCTCACATTGTCCAATTTCTACACACCCTTCTGCTCCTGTTTTTTGTTTTTTTGATCTTGTTTTGTTTTTGTTTTTGTTTTTTAAACAGAGAGTCCTTCTATTATGTAAGAAATACACAGGTTCTCTGTGACCTGAAACTCCCTATGTAGTCTAGACTGACCCTGAACTTACAACTCTCCTGCCTCAGTCTCCTAAATGCTTGGATCATACACATATACCACTAACACCCAGCTTCCTCCCAGATTTTTAAAAACCCTTAAGCAGTGAATTGAATCTAATGTCCATGCCTCCTGTAGAAGAACATGCTCTAGAAACAGGAGTTTGTAAGCACCTGGGAAGTCTTAAGAGATAGGTCTACATAACATGAGAAGATGTATGCTTTTCATACTACACAAGTGGTTTAGAGCTGACTCTGTGTCGGTGAAAAGTTAATGTAAAGACTGGGATACATTAGCAAAAATACAAGCCACCTTACCTGCTACAGATACTGTCTCTGCGGCTCTGCACCTCTCCGTTGACTTCCTGGTTCTGATCCTGGTGCTGGGCTGCTGCAGACTGTAGTACATCCTTAATTGAAGGAAACTGGCCCAGGGCCTCCACAGAAATCTCCTGGCCATCAACCATATAAGCTGCTCCGGGCATGGCCACATTAACTAGGACACCACAGGCCCCTCTTGTAGAGAAGCTGCTGTGTGAGGAACTGTCACTTTCATTTCCATCAGCCTCCGACACGCTATCCCCAGCCAGTGAGGCACTCTCTACACGGTTATCAGTCTCAGATGATGGACTAACCTCAGACACAACTGAAGTGCTGCTTCTACTCTGTTTCAAGGAACCTCCAACAGCATCACCAGTGGAACCAAGGCCACCAGAGTCACTTGAATCTTCAGTTCTATAGTCAGCCAGAGACCGAATCTTGCTTGATTTGGAACTCTTTTTCTCCTTAGACTGTGCCAGCAGCCCTAAGCTGCCTACCTTGGGCCCTCGAGGAACACTGGTACGAAGGAAGGAATACTCTTTTGTTACAGCTACAGTACTGGCTCTTGGCAAATTTTCTGGATTTAACATGAGCTCAGGATCAAGTGTACTAAAAAGTTTCATTTTTGTTGCAGGTTGACTGGACTGAGAAGAAAACAGAAGTATAAAAATATGATTAAGATTAGCAAGCAGAGTGGGCTGGAGAGATGGCTCGGTGGTTAAGAGCATTGACTGCCCTTCCAGAGGACCAGGGTTCGGTCCCCAGCACCCACATGACAGCTAACAACTGTCTGTAATTCCAAGATCTGACACCCTTACATAGACATACACGCAGGCAGAACACCAATGTACATAAAATAAAGAAAAAGATTAATAAGCAGAATTCTAAAATTATCATCCAGAAAGTAGGCACCAATGAACATTCTTTCTACTAATGGCAGTCTGCCGACCCTCAGAATGTTGGGTGCAGCAGATCTTCTAATTCTGTCTCTCACCACTCAAGTTGCATCAAGTAACCAGACCTGACCATCCCTGGGCCATCACTTGAAACATTTTAAAGCAAGTAACATCTAACATCTAACTTTCTTGACAAAACTTTCCTGACTATCGTCCTGGTTAGTTTCTCAGATATACGAAAAAAAAAATTTTAAAGTTCTATTAAATTAGGTCTACTTTTAGTTTAGAAAGTATTTTAGTTTTTAATTTTGAAATTATTCCAAAGGTAATGAGCTTACACATACCTTAGCAAAGACACATGGTACTCTTTCTTGTGGAGAGAGGAGGATGTTGACACAGGGGTCTCAGAGTCCAAGATGACCAAGAACTTGTGATTCCCCTGCCTCCATCTTGGTACTAGGGTAACTGTGCCACAATACCTACCTAGGTGGAACTCTTGCTCCATTTAAAACATTGTTTATCATCATTTTAATTCCCAGCTATCTTGTCATTTTTATTGTTGCAAATTATTGTTTCCAAGTGATCATGGTAGGATAATTACTGGTTTTTCCATTAATTAACTGGAATAATAAACAGATAATTTCCTAAAACCATTATTATATGTAATTTGGTTTTTTACATTTTACATTTTACATTTTACATATAATAATGGTTTTCAGTTGTTTTTTCACAGTCTTCCAAGGCATCATCAACCTGCAAATAACACCAATTCTCCTGTTTGTTAGTGTTTCTGTCTCTTACATCACTATACTAACTAGAAATTCTACAATGGCCTGAGTGATATTTGTGATAAAGGGAAAACTCCAGCTATGTATGTCAATATTACTTTCTTTAAAAATTATTCTTATTTCATGTATATGTGTTTTGCCTACATGTGTATCTATGAACCATGTGCATGCCTGGTGACCTTGGAGGCCAGAAGAGGATATTGTATGCCTTGGATCTGGAGTTACAGAGGATTGTGAATTACCATATGGATGCTGAGAATCAAACCCAGGTCCTCTGGAAGAGCAACAGGTGCTGTAACACTGAGCCATTTCTCTAGCCCCAGCATAACTTTCTCTTTCAGGAAAATTTCAATCCTGTCATTCTACCAAATTAATGTAATCCCAAGGCAGGATGACAAACATCCCAAACGCTGCAGTTATAAACACGTGAGCAGTAACTGCTAGAAAAGAACACAAAGGGAAAGGGTGAGGGATGTAGAAACTCAGATATGGACTGGACAGTCCAGAGGTAAACAAGGACATTTATGTTGTAGGACTCAGACTTGCTCAGAACTCACACAGAGGAAACAGCATACAGACCAGACTCCAATCCAGGAGACTCACCCTCTCCCGATGGCGCTTTACTCGGTACTGTATCAACTGCTCTTCCAGACGCTTTCGGGCCTGCAGTCGGACCTGCTCCTCCTTTTCCAAGGGCAATGAAGAGGCAGTGGAGCCTGCAAGGGAAATGGCCATTGAGAGATTGATAGGGAGCAGGGCACAGAAAGCAAGTTGGTAATCACAGATTGGTTGTTGTAAATTTAATCACCAATATGTTTTAGCTTGTAAACCACACACAGTCACCTGCATTTCATGACAATTTTCAGACTGAGAGAAAACTGAGAGCCACAGCACTGCATACAGATAAAATCTGCCTTACAAGTGATACAGTGTCAAGGGGCCTCTTCTCATAAGAAAAGATATATTTTCTTATGAAATTACATTCAGATTATCTCAATTTCTACAGTAACAAATCATAACACCATATAAAAATCAAGAGCATATTTAACCATATTATTCAAACACTGTAAAGTGAAGACCTAGAAGGTACTGCCTTTGAGGGCGAAGGGCAGGCTACGTTGGGTTTCCTAACAATGAGCTCAATCCAGAACTCATATTCAAGGATAGTAAGCACAAATGGAAATTTTTAAATCAAAAAATGATTTAAAATATTTAAAACTCAACCTGTTGGGGAGCAGGTGACCTAAAGTTATTGCAGTTGCAAACCCAAGAGAGCCACTCACTAGGGCTGGGTTTGTGGTTTTAATACTAATAACTAGAAGATGTGTCTGTGAAACATCAGCAGAGGGCTAAAAGGTCAAAAAAGAGGACAAATGCATAATTTAACTATCTTTTACATACACCACCCTCTTCAGACATAGATTCTGAAAAAACAACATTTTTAAAAAGAGCTTTAAAAAAAAATCTGTAAAATATGGACAGCTACTGAATTCACTAGGCCCCACCACTGTGGTTAGCAATCTGTGCACTGACTTCTCACAGAGCTACTGTCATTCAGGTGGTTTGGCCATATGCATGACAAATTCAAGGGGTATGGTCGTTGCACAGATGCCACAAATCAGTAACTACTCTTGGGTTTAAATAATACTAAAACTCCACGACAAGCTGTATGAGATAGAGGGTTTTTTTTGTTTTTGTTTGTTTTTTGGTTTTTTGAGACAGGGTTTCTTTGCATTGCTTTGGAGCCTGTCCTGGCACTCACTCTGTAGACCAGGCTGACCTCGAACTCACAGAGATCCACCTGCCTCTACCTCATGAGTCCTGGGATTAAAGGTGTGTGCCTCTACTGCCCAGGTCATTTTTAAAATGCATAATTTATTTATTAAGAATGCATAATTCTTTCTATCTATCTATCTATCTATCTGAGAGGTGGGAACATGCAAGTTGGAGGGCATGCTTGTGAGGTCAGGGACAACTTGCATGAGTCATTTTTCTTTCCATCATGTGGGTCTTGGGAATTGACTCAGGTCCTTGGGATTATGCAAATGACTTTACCAGTTGAGCCATCTCATCAGACCCTAAATTTATTAAATTAATTATTTTTATTCTCTATGTGTATGGGCAAGTATATGGCATGAGTGAGGAGGTCATAGGACAACTTTGTAGAGCTGGCCCTCCCCTTCAATCTTTACATGGATTCTGAAGACTCAAACTGAGGTCATCAGGCTTTGCTTCTTTATCCAAAAAGAGAGAGAGAAAAAAAGTCTATATAGTCTATATATTGTAGCAGGGGGGAAAGTGTCTTCATCAGTTACTAACAATATGACTATGTGGGACATAGACTAAAGACCTGCTTGACTCACAAAGAAGCAAGCTTAATGGCCCAAGGACACATGCGCCAAGATTCTAGCTGTAACACTGCCCATTATGGCCAAGCATTAGACTGTTATCAGGAAAGCCAGGTGGTGGCTCCTGCCTTTAATCCCAATACTCTGGAGGCAGAGGCAGGTGAATCTCTGAGTTCTAAGGCCAGTCTGTTCTACAGAGCAAGTTCTAGGAAAGCCAGGGCCATACAGAGAAACCCCATCTCATTAAAAGTAAATGAAATACACTAGGTAACATGGAGCTGCCAAAACAAGTTGCTCTGGGTTGTGGGGGAGCCACAAGATAAAACCAAGTGTTTTAATCTTGTAAAATTATTTAAACAATATAATCCTATTTTAAAATTACTTTAAAAATAGGTTTTATTAAGTGTGTGTGTTTGTGTGTGACTCTGAGTGCAGATAACCACAGATGTGAGAACAGGGCATCATATGCCTTGGGGCTGGGGTTACTGATGTGGGTTCTGGGAACCAACTCTGCAAGAGCAATAAGTGCTCTTAACTGCTGAGCCATCTCTCTAGCACCTAAGATTCCTTTTGTTTTGTTAATTACAGGGGCCTTGTTAAGTTGCTGGGCTGGCCTCAATTTTCAATCCTCCTGCCTTAGCCTTTCACAAGTAGCTAATTACAGGCACATAAACTTCACTTTTAAAGACAATGAGAAATATGTGGGTATGTTTGAGTATGTTTATATAAACATGCAAAAGATCTTGTGAGAATCTGGTTTACCAACTTAAGACAGAATTCCTGTCTGTTTGTTGGCCACCCATGAAGAATGACATGTGAGATGCCTTTGTCAGGGAGTCTGATACTTTTGCTAGTACTGGATGGAAGAAAGTTCCAACATCCAGATGTACCTGCAGTCTTTAAAGGGAAGCTACATCATCATGATGCATCCTTCTGCCTCCCCCATTGAGTACTATGATGAGATTTGTCTACTTGTCACACAGGAGCAGTAAGGCACTGATTCCAAGTAGAAGATGTTGATAGCAAGGGGTGGGAAGAGTCCAGAGGGAATGGATGCTTACACAGTTGCGTTTCTTGCATGGGAAGACTGAGTCTGAGAGACTGCAAAGCTTCTTTTCTAACACTGCCCTCAGCACTAGTTCCCTGAGACTTCCTTAGGTTGTCATGGAAACCATCCACACCTGCAGAGGCATCAGGTCCCACTGGGCTTGCTGTGGGATCAAGAGACAACGGATGGTCTGGGAACTGCCCATTCTGACACAGGGCCTCCTGGCTGGATCTATCTGGACTTCCTCCTTCTCTAAAAATGCTGTTGTTTACTTCAATACTGACACCTGCAAAGAGAGAGAGAAAAAGTATGTTAGACTGTATTTGAAAAAGTTTTAGTCATTTCCAGACACACGGCTACATCTAAGTTCCATGAGCATAGCTTATCCACATTTTACAAGTCTGTTTTCTCTGACTCTCAGGAAATAAGTCCCACAGCTGTTGTGGGACAGGGAGACTTGGGGCAAAGTCTCATGTCCTCACCTGTAAGTTAGCCTCACCCTCCACATTATGACTGTGGTATTTAGCTCATGTTTCCTTCCCACTTCACTAAGAAAAATTAAAAACCTTTGAAAATTTATTGTTTTTTTAAATGTGTGTGTGTAGGCAGGCAGAGGCTTAAAACAAAGCTGAGAATTTTTTTCAAACACATACAGGTGACAGCAGGCCTAACCAGAGTCCACGCTCATATTTTCATGTGCTGGTTTCAAAGTAAATTCAGAATATGTTCTCCTCCAAAGAGGAGTGATTCTGTAAAAGTGAACAGAAGCCAACTTTGTTTTGGCTTGATGAGCAAGAATTATGTATTATAAAAACTCTATTCACAAACCAGGTGTGGCTATTCATACCTATAATCCCAACACTTGGGAGACACAAGCAGGAAGGTCAAGAGTTCATGATCTATATATGAGCTATATAGCAGGTTTGAGGAAAGCCTGAGCTCTAAGAGACTGTATCTCAAAAACACTAAAAATTTTAAAACCTAAGTTTACCCATAAGGCTCATGACCCAAATCCAGCCTCACCCACCACCATTATTGTACAAAGAACCAAAACACAGTTCTTGCTCAAAAGATAAAGTCAAATTTAGATTTTCTTCTGCCTTCCCCTGGTGGGTAAATTACTTGGGGGAGGCAGAGTCCATCCGAAGGAATTCCCAGGCTCAGTGACCTAAGATCTCACAGGCACCAATATCAATGGGTACCAAGATATATCCAGAGGGCATGCAGGAAATTCCACATGCCCCCCCCCTTTTTTTGCTCAGGCCAAGTAAAAACAGGGTTGCTATTTGCAAATAAAAGTTCCTGCTACTCACTGACATGCCTCCTTGAAAAAGAAATCCTCAATGACCAAGACATGTTTGCTATAGGACACAGATGGTCCCACACTGTCAGTTTTAATAAAGGTCATCCTTTGCTAAAGGGAGCAAGGATTCTGGCCCTACACTGTCACCCTTTATTAAAGGGTGCAGGGATTCTGCATTTCAGATACAAGTTACAAGTGGCTAATACCACTTTCTGATGTGTAGACTTCTAAACAAAAGTTTTGAGCAACATACTACACCTTAAACAAAATCTAAAAGCAACAAGATCCAATATGCATGAAGACTTTGTTTCCAAATACAAACTTAAATATACACATCAGGATGAACAGAAGACAAAAATGGCTGCATCCACTTACTGGATGTTCACTAGACAGTAGGGATTAAATCAGGGCTTCACACATGTCAGGGAAGCATTCTATCACTGAGCTACATTCCAGTATTTTTGGCATTATATACACCACTCATTTTAACCCTCACAACTACCCTATTCATAGGTTCCATGAATCTTCCTGAGTGACAGATCCAAGATGTGGTTCCACGAAAGAATCCACTCTTGGGTATGAATATCACATCATTTTATAAGACCTACAGTGCAATTTCTGTTAGAGAACCAGTACACAGTAATCTATCTTTTTAAAGTGCAGTTTGCATTCCTAGCTCCTGACTGCATGGGGTCTGGGAATCAACTGCGTTACTACTGGTGCACAAACAACCCAGCAGCTAACAGAGAAACATGATTCAGGAATCTTAGACCACTAATCAGTTCCAGTTGTTACAACTTTGGCACCCAATCAACCAGAAAGGTAGAATTTCAAGCACTAACAATAATTCACCAGTGGAGATCCACAGAAGCCTTCAGGAAGCAGCTCTACCACCAACCATGGAACGTATCCAAGTGGCTCCTATTCTGTTGACTAAAGACTATGTTTGATCTAAAGTTAGCACCAAATGAGAATATCTATAACTAAAACACTCTGAGAGAATGAAAAGTTCACACCCACCTCCAAAACACCAGCTGATCACATCTTGAAAATGAAATGCTAGGGTATAGAATGACCTGTTGACTTACTCTGAACTTCATTTGGTTGGTCAGGAGGTAGTGCCAGTGAGCCCA